AAAAAAGTGCGAAAAATACTTTGGTAGATCCAACTAAAAGAAATAGCGCAGTAACCAAGCAAGCGAACAAAGTGCCACAGCAACAATTAGAAAATACTGAAGAAAGTAGTGCAGTGATTAGTGAAGAAGAAGAAGTAGAAAAAGCAAACGAACAAGAAAAAGAGTTGCAAGATCTTAGTGAAATGGTGTTTGAAGAAAACACAGTTGCGACGGCGCAAGAAGCGCATGAGGAACACAGCAGCAGTAGCAGCAAACCACATAGACATCATAAAAAATACCACCAACACCACCGACACCACCAACAGCAAGAACATAATCAGCACCACCACCAACAACACCACCATCATCATCATCATCGGCAGCATCAGGATACGCAACAACTGCACCTCCAAAACCATCATAAAACAACGCACGCTGAAGTGAAAAATGTGACAGAAAAAATTTCATCAGCGACGGAAGAACGTCTAGCGGCGGAAGAGCGCCTAGCGATGAAAGTACCCGAAACACCGAAGGCGCGTATCACATTGCCAGCGGTAGAAGCCGCTTCCTCAACTACACACAAAGCAGCCGCTGAAAAGTTAGCGCTAGACTCAGCGCGATCATCAGTTGATGGTGGTAGCACAGAGTTCTCTAAACCCGCATCGCACACATCAACTGCTTCCATCACATCCGCAGAGTCTATGTCCTCTAGCGACACAGAGGTGGACGCCAGTAGTGATAGTGTTAGTGATGAAAGTGATAGCGATAGCGATAGCGTCAACGAACCTGCCACCTACAGTAATAAAGAGATCATCGGTGAGAAACTCAAACCCGATCCATCGACTCTAGTCCAAATTGAGAATAGCCTATTGTCGCTATTCAATATGAAGATGCCACCAAAACTCGATCGTTCCAAAATCATTATACCCGAAGCGATGAAACAATTGTACGCACAAATTATGGGTTATGAATGGGATTCAGTGATGATACCACGGCCGGGTATATTGACCAAATCAGCGAATACGGTGCGAAGTTTTACACATATAGGTGAGTGAAAAACACTTTTTATACTAAAAGCTTATGTTCGGAAATTTATAATTAACCTGTGGGTAATTTACTAATAGGAAAGCCGCGAAACCTAAAAAAAAATCCAGTGCTTCCAATTTTTTTCCAACTACCAATTTGAGCCTAAAGAATTTGTGAAAGTAGTTCTGTAGAGTAGAGGCCACAATTTTGATAATAAACAGCCTCCTCTCCTTTCATTAAAATTTTCAGATATTTTTTATGCCCTGTCCTTTTTTAACCCGGTTTTAAAATTTTGCAAAAAAGTTGTGAATGACTCATTTTAGTCACCTTCATTAGGTGGTTGGATCGCAAAAATTGTTATGTTATGTTATGTGAATGAATTTTCAATACGCGGGGAAAAATATGATTTTCGTAGGTCTGTGCAACATTAAAGCCTTTTAGGTATGTACTTTTAAGAGTGTTCGATTTTTGGGCTTCTGAATTTTCCTTTTGTCTCTGCAAGTTGATGCACTTTTGTGACCAAATATATTTATCTGGAAAAAATTGCATTTTCCAGATTTTGTTTACTTCTTTGGTTTCAGTTTGTATTAACTAGTTGATGCCAATTAGAAATGTGTACTCAATTACTGGTTAAATCAGAAGGTACTTGGAATAGAGCGAATATTTACATACATTTTGAAGCAACAGTACTCTTTTGTAATGAACAATTTCAAGCAGATATGCATGCTTCGCAAACCAGAGGCAATTGAAAAAAAAACTGAGGATATATTCGAAATCAGCAGACTGAAAATAGTCCAAACATTCTACCGAGCTTACCTTGTTTCTAGCAGCACATCTCAACCCACCAGCGGAGTCCGCAAGGTGCACAATTAGGACTTCCTGTGCGGTGTGCTGACGTTCCTAGGGGGGCTCCGAAAAGAGTAGCAAAGGAGCATATCCGTCGGGGAAAAGGGATTTATCAATATGTGCCCCCGGAGTCCCGAAAAACTCATTTAGATAATCCGCAAAGAATCCGTACGGACTACCCTGTTCGCCTATGATTTTTTGAAACGTACTCCTTAAATCATCCGAAGATAACCTCGATGGAGTGTTTTGGGAGTGCTCCGATAATTGGCCTAACTGGAGGCTTTACGGCCCCTCAAAAAGCTCCCAATTTGATTTTCAAATAAAAAATACTAGATTTTTTTCATCTTTTTTTTTTTTTGAAAAAAACGATGAAGTAAAGAAAATTATTTAACATCCTATTCAGTAAAAGAACAAATTAAAATGGTAATATAATGAAACAAATAAAATACTTTTTTTTTAAGAAATTACTTTGAGGTTTGGAGAGCTCAAAAGTTATAAAGTAATTTTTTATGTGTACATTCGCAACTGCACTGACGACAAGCGCTTTTTTTGCGGTGTCCCTTTCCAGAAACTCTCGGAATTCATTTATTATTTTTCGGCATATTAATCGAATAAAAAAATAAAACAAGATAACGAAAATACTTTGAAACCCTTTTCACTCTTTACTCGGAGCATTCCGAAAGTGTTCTTTCGAGGTGTTGCTGTGGGAGCACCAATTCACTCCATATTTGGAGCGCTCCACATTTCGCTAGCTGGGATGGGATGGGATGAGGACTTTCGGAATAATGTTTAAAAACTCAAAATGAAGGTTCATTAAAAAAATCTAGGTTTGTGAACATTTTTTGTGGTTTCGCCTTTTTTGCCTTTAGGGTTCCATCATACTCGTGGTGACAAATGTTTTCAAATTTTAGTGTTTTTGGGAAATTTTAGTGTAAAGGGAATACGGAAGGAAATTCGTTCCAAAATAAAAAAAATCAATTATTTTTTTATTCATTTCAAATCTAAACCATTATTTGTCACTCCTCAAGCGTTGAATATCATAAAAACCCCTATTTAAAAACTCCACTTTATTTGGGCAGCGTAGAAAATTTTAATTCAAATTCCACATCTCATTTTGAAAACTCGTAGTTAAGTGCAACATTTGTTTACTCTTTACTATTTATTAGAACTGCCAACATTTCTTTCGAATTGTTTTTATAATGTAACATTTATTATCTGGAACAGGAGAATCGATTTTCTTCAAAATGCTACCTTTTCCGCACTCCGCACTAAAAATTTTAATATAAACATATACAAATTCAAAGATCAGCCTAAACTGGCCTCTTGCTAATTTTATAAACTTTCCTTAAAAAAACTAATTTATCAAATTGGTTGAAAAGGGGTGGCTCCAGTGAATTATGAACATTTCATTCCCGGTTTGAACCACTGTGCATCATGGCACTGCAGTAAAATTGAAACGTAGGTATTTATTGAGTGTGTTGTTTATGTTATGGTCTTCACTAAAGGGCAGAAAGTCTAATAAACGCTTGAAATATCTAATTTTTCGACGTTTTCGGGGTCCTGATTTTTCCTTCGACTCATTTTGTCACCCTATTTATACCTGACTTTGTGTCGCTGGCAGCATCTTTAAATAAACCTCTTATTGGAAACTGCATGCGAAAGTGCTTTCGAACACTTAAAAACAGCCATAATGTCTTCTAAGATTTAGCAACATCCTGATTTTACTAAAGAATTTATCACACAACAGTAGATGCTTCTACAAACGGATGCAGTGCTATATTAAGCCAAAACTACATATAAAGGCTATGATTTACCCATATGTTTCGCTTCTAAAGCTTTCAAAAAAGTAGAACAGAATAAGCCGATTATCGAACTTGAACTTTTAGCTACATACATATTTTGCGAACAAGCAATTTCGCCCGTATGTTTACGGTACGCACTTACGGTAAAGTCTGACCATCCACCCTTAGTTTATCCTTTTAGCATGAAGGACTCTTCCTTAGAGTTTGCCAGAATACGCCTAGAAGTGTCAGAGTACAATTTTACAATTGAGTATATAAAAGGCAAATGAAACATTGCAAAGAGCGTACTTTCACCTATTACCATTAACTTACTAAAAGACCCGACAATACATACTTAAAGTGATGAAAACGCGATCTATTACATAAAACGATTGAACTACAGAACGAAATTATTTCCGCGAACAACCCTACGGCACAAGTTTACGATACATTTTCAGACAATTTTTCTAAAAATATATCGCGAATATTACCCAATTTTCTATGCGATAAGAAACCAAAAAAATTTCAAATATACAAATATGTGCACATCTAAAACCCAAGAAACAATAATTATTTAATTTTACGAGTGTTATTTATGCGGTGTTTACATG